AGCTATGACATACAACTATCTACTGGGGCTTTGGGGGGAAAAAATAAATAAATAAAAATCTTTAAAAAAAAACAAAAAAAACAAAGGATCAATAAATTGAGCAAACCTCTGGTGATATTAAGAGAGAAAGGCATAAATAAATATTACTTATAGGGAAAAAGTAGACATTACAGATGCAGCAGATATTAAAAGCTAAAATTATGTACTATCAACAACTTTACACCAATTAAATTGCAAAAACAGTAAGCAAAAGAGACAAATTTCTCAAAAAATATGCATTCAGGAAGAAATAGAATAACTGAATAATCCAAGAACTACTAAAAATAATTTAATGAAGAGTTTTAAAAAAATCTTCCTACAAAGGAAACACAGATAGTTTTATATGTGAGTTCAAAAACAGAAAATCTTATTCAAACTTTTTTAGGAAATAGGAAAAAAGGAACACACCTCAACTATTTTCAAAGGTCTAGGACCTAGGATAACCTTGATGCCAAAACCAGACAAAGTTAATACACAAAGGAAAATTATAAGCCAGTGCCATTCATGGCTATAGATGTAAAAATTTAAAATATTCACAAACTGAATCCAATACTATTTAAAAAAACAAAAATGAAAAAGATTGCACATCATGGCTAAGTTGGATTTATTCCAGGATGGCAAGGTTAATTTAATGTTTTTTTAAAGCCTATTAATATAAATCACATTAGCAGATTCAAGATGAAAATCTATATAGATGCACAAAAATATGATACAATTCAACAAACATTCATGATAATTACTTTTAGTTAACTGAGAATAGAAGAAAACTTTCTTGGCCTGATCAACAAAAAAGAAAATAGCAAGTTTGGGAAACTACACATAGTGCAGTATGGCTGGATGAGAAAATCGATGCTCAAGAAGGTTAAATGACTTGCCCAAGATCATGTATCAATTTTAATAGTAAAGACTGGACCACATCTTAATTCTCAAGTTTGTCCAAAAAACATGTTGATGCTGGTATTATGGTTGAATTATGGTATTATGGTTAAACAGAATTTTTCACAAAACAAGTTAGAGTATTCAAGATTTACCAGTATATGGGTCATATTTATTTGAATCTCAAATATCCCCTTTTTCCAAATTCTTGTAAATATCTATTAAGTTGAGTAAAATAACTTCTTCCTTGAAGTTTTTCCATTTGTTAGACTTTGTCCCCAGCTGCTACTTCCAGCTTGCCTAATTGCTAAGGGAGGAGGAGAACACGTCTCCACTCTAAACATTCTTCACATCATACCACACCATACATTGTTCACACTTCACACCACCATATATTTACAACACCAAGAAAGGAGCTGATATTAAATAGTTTGTATATCTTCCAGTTTACTTACTTAACTGATGGACAATTTTTCTACTTAGAAAAGATCCTTGTCTTTATTCAGAAAGAATCTTGTTCTCCATTAGCTTGTCACTAAGTCAAGAATTGCCAGTAGAGCCATTTTTACCTTCTAGAAATGGCTGAACATCTCAGCAATGTGCCTGCAAGAATTATTGAGCAAGTCAGTTCCTTTTCAAAGGTGTAATTTTGATTTCCCATTAAATAATTCTGTATTGAGTCTAGAAATGTGTTCAACATTAACAAATATTTATTAAGCTTCTAGTATGTGCCAGACACCATGCTATGTGATAGCCAAATAGGTAATTTGCTATCATAGTACACAAATTGAAACATAACTCATTGCTTCTGTACAGGAATTCTCTGAATTGGAAGAGAAGCAACACTTTCTAATCCTCATTAGCCTGGAAATTGGAACTTCAAATCCATTAGTAGAACACTTTCCCAGATTTTGTGTGGATTCATTTTTTTTAACTTAATTAGTGATTGAGTTTAATTTTAGAGATCTCATTGTTCCATTTTATTACAAAATGTGGACCTGATTAGTTGACCTCATTTAGATTTTATTTCAATGTTTTACTACTTGTGCATATTTTTCTCCATTAAAAAAAAATCTCTTATCTTTCTATCTTGTGCTTTATTTCCATATCAGGAAGATTTTAAATGCTTTAAATTGTTATTTCATTTTTATAACATACCATCTCAAATACAATGTATAAAGAGAGCCAGTTTGAATAGGTTGGATTGCCTTTCATGTGTATTATTAATCATTCAAAGTGCAATTTTCAGAATGTATCAACATTAAATTTTAAGCTAATATATCAATATCAGCTCCAAAATATTCCTAGGTTGGCAAAAAGTAAACCTCAAAGGTTAGGGCCTTTATATGTGATTGAACAAAGACTTATGCACAAGTCGGTAGCCCTCCATCCACCATTTCCATAAAGACCTGGGTTGATGACCCAGTCTATATGCCTAGAGACTGTTAGCAGTGAGCCGTCCAGGTTCTAAAGGCAGGTACTCTGCTCATTGTTTCCCTGAGATCTGTGGCTGTTTTGTCACCGTAGTTAAACTATTCCCTAAGGATCCAGACAAAACAAATTTCAAGACAGTTGACCTTTTTTCTCTTAATCATTATACTTCTATAGAAACACAAAGGCTAAATTATATCATAGAAGTTCAACTTTATTTAGAATCTTTAAGAACTTTGTCTTTACGTGCTCTCCCTGCAATATAGCATAGAAAGGCATAAGGTGTAGTCTAGGTGAAGCTCATGGATTTGGTGCCAGACTGCCACCTGGGTTTGAAACCCAACTTTAACCAGCTGGGTGGTTATTATCCCAACTCTATTACCAGCTGGGTGACTTGAAGTTACTTAAACCCTGTACCTTGGATTCCTTATCTGTAGGACAAAGTTATGGATAGTATCTACCTCACAGGTTGCTGAGGGACTATAAATGTGTAGATATATGTAAAGGGTTTAGAATAGTGCTGGGCACATAGAAGGACTGAAAAAGTATTAATAGTTAATTAGATCCTTTTCTAAGGTGGCCAGCCCTAACCAATTCCAATTATGGAATGTATCAACTTCCCAGCTGAGAAAACAAATCACTGTAGAGTTCCATGGCTTAAGGCCCTTTGTTTGGTGTGATTGTGCACTTTTCTTTGTACATTTGACTTTGGATCCCAGCAGCAAAGCTGGTGCTTACACTGTCCTTCTGCGACTTGCCTGCTACATGGTCTTGTTCCCAGATCTTGCCCCAACTCCACCTCCAGTTAGAAGAAGTGAAGAATGGCTGTCCTTGAGGAGAAACGGACCCTAAGTGGGGAGCTACCCATTTATTCTCTCATCCTCAATCTTCATTTCTCTAACTTGCAGCTGAAAAGGATCCTTCTGGATTTCTTACTAAAGCAAGCCACGTCAATGCTTGGTGCCTTCTGACTGTATGGTTCAAAACATTGTATCATGAAGAGTTTGTGGTATGAGACATGGTCTTTCTCTAGTTTCAATGAATGAAGATCTTTCCTTAAGTTTTATGTTTGTTCCTTGTGGATATTTTTCAAACAGGGAATGCAGTAAATACGTAGTGACTGTAGTAGTCATCTGCTATTTTTTCACTTCAAACGTCTAGTCTCTCTTTCCCTTTAGAGAACTATAACATCCCCACTCTTAACTCAGTTGTTGACGTTAATCTACCTCCACAACTGGGTTTCAGGGGGATCTAGTCTAATCTAATGCATGTACTGCATGTACCCCCCTGATCACCAGTGATTGGTTCAGGGATTGGGATGAGCTTGAAATTGCTGAGGTCCACCACATGGAGCCTCAATCCAGAAGACACAGCTAAGAAACCTAGAAGAAATAGCTGATATAATCTGAGTTCCAAATCAAGCTAAGTCCACAAAAACCAAAGTCAGGTTTTGATATGGTTTTATGTATTCATTTAAATGTAGGTATATCAAAAAATAAGGCCAAATGTGAAGGTATGCCTAGGAAAACAGGATAGTTTGCTCACTGTACTCCCTGTTAAAATACTCCCTTTAGCCAAACTCATGCTAAAATAGGATAAGATTATTGTTAGTAACACACATGCCAATCTCTACGGCAGTTTATTAGCCTTTTATCTTTGCAGAGATAATACCAATCAATGGTTCCTAAAAGCTGGTCTGCACACTGGGATGGGTCAGCGATAACCTTCCCACCAGTCCATAGCACCCTTCTCAGATCAATGCTACTGCTATATGATGGTGAGCAGGGCCCTGAGCCAAGTCCTAGGCATGAAAGGCAACAGAGAGCTCTGAAACTCCCTCCCTACTCACTAACTAGACACCTGGCCTGAACTTTTTCCCCGGACTTCAGGGAGAAGACAGAGGAACTGGAGGCCATTGTTCCACGGCTTTTAGGTTCCACAATATCCTGAAATAGTATTATGTAGCTTTCATTATAGCCAGCATACCTAAATACAATCAAATTTACAAGGAAAGCATGGTGACAAAAACGCAATCCTAGAAGTTGATACTTGAGTTCTAGTCTGTGTGGAATAGACTCCCAAAATGGCAAACTTATATCCAGACCACAACTAAACAGTATAAATATTACAAAATGGAAATTCATTGTAAATTTTCCAATTTGGGTTTTCAAAATTAGATCCTTTTCTAGATATCTTAGTAGAATACTGCCAACCTTCTTCTGATGTGAGGGTTTGTCCTTTGTTTTAACTATAGATCCATCTCAGTGTGAGATAAAAATATTCTTTCCTTTATAATCTTAGGATGATAGTATTTATTTTGCAAAATACATTTAAAAAATTGCCAACCCTAGGCTTGGCCCACCCTCCTCATTTTTTAATATGACTCATCCATGACCTTCAAAAGCTTGGAAATCACTGAAACACAGTGCAGGTTGTACAAATCCCCATTCCCAGGCTAGCCATAAACTACACATGCCTGCCATTAAATATATCTATTCTTTATACTATCTTTCATTTTAAAAAGAACATATTTCACTTTATAAATTTTTTGTACTAAGATTTTAATTAAAATAATTTAAAGAAATACAGCACACAGCAACATTACAAAAATACAAAAGGCTTAGAGACAATGAATAATGAAAATTCTTTTTAAAAGAGATACACGACAGGAAAGAAAAATAAACAATTTTTATACGCTATTTACATTAATTATAAACCATAGCAGTAAAAGCTTTCCGAACATTGGCAAGAAAAGCCGAAAAATTGTTGGTCTTCCTTACGTTCTCTTGAAATTCTGCTAGGCACTCAAGATGAGGAGCACTATCTGACACTAGAAGAGGAAAAAAAAAGAAGACAGTTAGAATGAGATTTTTTATGGAAGAGAAGTGTTTCTAATTTAAATGCTCTCATCTGATTCGAATCATTTCAATTTCATTTCATTGAAATGCTTTGAGCATAGAATGATAGATACACTTGATTTTCATATCCTAACTATCTTTTGGACCTTTCTTTTGTTTAATCTCTAAATATTCAAATGTTAGGTACTACAATCTTGCTTAAAAATTTAAACAGATGGTAGTCAAGGGATTGAAGATCTTAGTGATACAGAACAGAATGCCATTTCCCATCAGCTTTTCTATACATTTTGTTTTAACCATTTAAACTGTGTAACAGTTGGGTTTTTTTGTTTTGTTTTTAACTCAGTCAGTTTTCTTTGCAAAACTTTGGTCTGACTTCTAGTTTTGGGCCATTGGATCAAAAAAAGAACAACTTTCAATGCCAGTGCTTAATAATTTACCACTATGGAGAGAAATATCTCATTTTACAAGTGAAATGGAGGTCATTAGAAAATGTGATTGCTTTTCCAAAAGTGGTATTTACAGGGCTTACTAATCAAATGTGACTCAAAGTCACAAACACTAATATGGCCCTCGTATGTAGTTGTACCAGCTAGTACATACTGGGAGTGAGTGTCCAGTGAGGGTGGTCAAAGGAAAGGAATGACCCAGCTTTCTCTACCATCAACCCTGTCCCTTGTCCAAGGGGAAGAAATTTGACCACATCAGATTTCCAGTTCTTTGGTAGAGATTGCTTAGGAAGCAAGGTCATGACCAAAGCAGAGAAAGAACAGCAGAGAGCACTGGGTTCAAAATTTATACTGTAGATTCTATCAAATACTGTGAGACTATGTAACAATAGAGGATATCCAATTTGGAGAAAACTGAAAAGCTAGGTAAGAGGGTTTTTTGGGTTTGCTTTTTAAAATTTAGCCCTCATTAGATTAGAAGATATTTACCTAGAGAGAAAAAAACATCTGTACTTGAATTAGATTCCTAAAATATAAGTTCCAGTAGAAGAGGAATTGAGGGGCCACCCGGTGGTGCAGCAGTTAAGTGCGTGCACTCCACTGCGGTGGCCCGGGGTTCGCAGGTTCGGATCCCGGGTGAGCACCGATGCATCGCTTGTTAAGCCATGCTGTGGCGGCATCCCATATAAAGTAGAGGAAGATGGGCATGGATGTTAGCCCAGGGCCAGTCTTCCTCAAGAAAAAAGGGGAGGATTGGTATCGGATGTTAGCTCAGCGCTAGTCCTCCTCACAAAAAAAAAAAAAAAAAAGAACAGGAATTGAGTCACTAGGGCATATCAGGGAGTGAACTCAGCAGTGCCCCTGAGCGCCTGTCTGTTATAAATGCTTTAAGATGAGAACAGAGGTATAAAGAGCTGAGAACCATTTTTCTGAACTCCAATAAATTAAGGATTACTTTAAAAGGGGCATTAGAAGAATAAAAAAGAGATAAATATATTTCCATTCTCTTCTCGGTCACATTATTACCAATCATATATATTCCCCATACATTAAAGACCTCTGGCCTGCTGCGGAATCAGTAACTAAGCTAAATTACCAGTATGTGGGATTTTCAGGATGGTATAATTTTTTTTATTTTTGGGAAAATAAATTATCACTTTCTGATGATTTAACATTTAATTTTAAAATCACCTACTTGGATAAATTATAATATTCACATTTAGGCAGTCATATCCTTTATAGCTTTAGCCTTGTTTTAAGTTCTCTCGAAGGTTAATTCATACTTGCATATGAAATTCAGTGATCTTTTGTCTTTTAGACTTTTCAGCCACTGTAGCACTGTGCTATCCTAAAGAGAAGTTATTTATCAAGGCCCTAGATAATATCCATAAATCAAAACTTACTCAGAGCCTTTAGAAGACAATGTCCCAAGAAGCAAGACTGGAAAAGAGAGCAATAGCTTGTGGGACTATTACTTTCCTTCATAATACTTTATATTCTGATTCAAGTAACATTTTGGGATGCCAATCTTAAATACCAGTTAAGAGATAGGAGTACATACCTTCATAGTCCCTTGCTTCATTTAGGTGCAGGGAAAACATAAATGGGTTCTCAGGATGCTTAGGATCAATATTAGTGAATATAAACTGCAATTTATCACCTGAAAAAAAGAGATTAAATTATTTAATATGAGAATATTTTATTGTGCCAAGCTTTCCATGGAGATGAGCTTTCTTACCTCTGTCTCTGATCAATATCTACACCACCACATATATATCACTTAACCAGTGTCTCCAAAGGTACAAGTTACAAATTAGTTTTAAAATGCATTGTAGTTTAAATATGGCACAAAAAGCACAAGCAACAAAAGAAAAAAAAAGATAAATTGAACTTCATCAAAATTAAAAACTTTTGTCCTTCAAAGGACACTACCAAGAGAGTAACAAGATAACCCACAGAATGAGAGAAAATATTTGCAAATTATATATCTATGAGTTTAATATATAAGAAATATAAAACACTCCTACAACTGAACAACAAAAAGAAAAACAACCCAATTCAAAAATGGACAAAGGACTTGAATAGGCATTTCTCCAAAGAACAGATACAAATGGCCAAAAAGTACACGAAAAGATGCTCAGCATCACTAATCACTAAGGAAATGCAAACCAAAACTACAATGAGATACCACTTCACACCTACTAGGATGGCTATAACAAAACAAAACAAAAAAAAGAAAAGAAAATAATAGTGTTGGTGAAGATGTGGAGAGATTAGAACCCTTGTACATTGCTGGTGGGAATGTAAAATGGTGCTACAGCTGTGGAAAATAGTTTGGCATTCCTCAAAAAGTTTAAATAAAGAATTACAATATGACCCAGCAATTCCATTCCTAGGTATATACTCAAAAGAATTGAAGATAGAGACTCAGATAACTGTACACCAATGTTCATAGCAGCATTATTCACGGCAGCCACAGGCGATAACCCAATGTTCACCAACAGGTGAATGGATAAACGAAATGTGTATATATACAGTGGAATATTATTCAGTCATGGAAAAGAATGGACTTTTGATATACGCTACAACATGGATGAACCTTGAAAATATTACGCTAAGTGAAATAAGACAGACACAAAAGGATAAATATTGTATGATTCAACTTACATGAAATACCTAGATTAGGCAAATTCATAGAGACAGAAAGTAGATTAGAGGTTATCAGGGGCTGGAGGGAGAGGGGAATGGAGAGTTATTATTTAATGGATACTGCTTTTGTTTGTGGTGATGAAAAATTCTGGAAATAGTGGTGATGTATAACATTGTGAATGTAATTAATGCCACTGAATTGTACAATAAAAATTAGTTAAAATGGCAAATTCTATGTCATATATATTTTGCCATAAATAAATAGAATGTTTTGTCGAACAAGTTTAATTTCACTTTTCTACATAGTTGTCTGGACTTAATGCCTATTTTCCAAAAGACCTCCAAATGCTCCCAAAGTAGTAAATGCCTGGTAGAAATTCAAAATGACAGCCACAAAGTAGAAATTCACGTGCATTTTAGTTTTAAATAAAAACTAAAATACAGCATAAAAAATTAGGAAATCTCATAAAAAATGCTTTTAATTATAAAACGAAGTCTTCTGAAACTTTGAAAAAATTGTCTTGCATTTAAATTCAAGATGAAATAATTATGTCAGTACACTAGATTTTTTTAAACTGTTAACAGTAATGGGAAGGATGCATGGCAAGAAAAAAAGATTTTATAAGATATTCAGTTAGGCAAAAAGGGTTTAATTTGGATTGTTTTTTTTTTTTAAACATTATTTTCTGACTTTGAGGGCTATGAGCAAGTTCTATTTTAAATCTAAATATAATTTTAAACCTTTAAAACTGATTTTGAGGGGCCGGCCCAGTGGCATAGTGGTTAAGTTCGCACACTCCGCTTTAGCAGCCTGGGGTTCACAGGTTTGGATCTTGGGTGCGAACCTACACACCGCTCCTTAAGCCATGCTGTGGTGGCATCCCACATACAAAATAGAGGAAGACTGGCACAGATGTCAGCTCAGGGACAATCTTCTTTAAACAAAAAGAGGAAGACTGGCAATAGATGTTAGCTTAGGGCCAATCATCCTTGCCAAAAAAACACAAAAAACCAAAAAAGCCAAACTGGTTTTGAAACAAAACTAAACAAAAAGTGCCTCAGGATGACAGTGAATACGTACTAAGAGTCCAATGGATCAAAAGTTCAGAGTTGGATCTTATATCCTCCTCTAATCAAAAGGATAATATTTTTTATTAAAAATTCATTCCAACAGATAGGAAAAAGACCAAGACTAATAGATATATGAACAAAGGGCCCAAACAGACAATCAAAGAAAGAAATATAATTAGTAAACAAATGGAAAAAAATAGTTACCTTTTCATTAATAATCAAATAAATGCATTCTTAAAAAGTTTCAATTATATCTAGTCAACTGCCAAAAATAAAACAAACGAATTTTAGAAAACTATAATTCTGGCAAGGCTACAATGAAATGGGTACTCTTTACATTCTAGACAGGTATCATAAAAGAGTTAACATAGCAAGCCTGAGACTGCCATCCTTGGAACCTTAGAAAGCCCTGCTTGCAAGGTTGGTCCTTGGCTGGTGTGTTGGAGGTCCTCAAGACCACCCCAGCTTTGAGGATTCACCAGGAGGCTCACAGGACTCAGCATATGGTTGTGCTCAGGGCTACAATTTCTTACAGAGAAAGGATAAAGCAAATCAGCAAAGGGAAAAGACTCATAGGGTGAAGTCCAGGGAAAACCAGCACAAGCTTCCAGAGTCTAATGAGCATCCCTGGTAGACAACACTTTACACGTATTGTCACAATTAGATACTGAAGGAATTAAGCACGTCCTGTGTGACCCCACTGAGTGAGGACACTTGAAAACTTGTGCCTGAGAAGTCTGTTTCCTCCAGACTTTGCCCTGTGTGCCTTTTTTTTTTTTTTGGTTGATTTTTTTGGTATCCTTTCACTTCAATAGATCCTAGTCATGAATATGACTATATGCTGAGTCCTATAAATCTTTCTAGTGAATCACCAAACTTGAGGGTGATCTTGGGGACTCCTAACATAATGGGTACTGCTGTAAATTAGCACAAATATAGGTAATAGCCATAAAAATATTCACATGCTTTAACCCAGTATTTTGTTTCTATGAATTCCATGGAAATTATACAAAAGAAATGGAGAAGTCTATGTTCACTGTAGTATTTCTAAAACTGAAAAACTGGCAGAATACAAATATTAGGTTAGAAGCAATATAAGTGTTACATAACAGATAAAAGATTGAATAAATTATGCTACATTAATGGAATGAATTATTACATCACCTTTTTAAAATTACCATTATGAAGGCTATAGCAACTGACAAATGCTAATCTAATACAATGCTAGTAAGAACAAGCAACAAAAATTATTTGCATGTAGGCAACTATGCCTAAAATACATTTATTAAAATACTGGATAAATAACTAAGACATCAGTGATCATGTTAGGGTGGTAAAAATTTTGTAACTTTTTCCTATCTTCTAAAAAAGTTAATAATGTAGTCATTATTTTAGCTGAAAATATTTTTAAAATTCTCCTCTATTTAAGAAAAGACATATTTTTCTAATCTCCTATTCCATTAATATACTTACCATAAATTTTTCGAATTTCTAGTCCAAGTCGATCTTTATACAAGTCTGCAGATTTCTGTAGCCTTTTCAACCTCTCTTCATTAGCTTTGTTAGCAGTGGAAATAGCTATGATTCAAAAACACACACACACAGTATCAAATATCTTAAATAATAATTAGTGCTCATTTAATTAATTTTTAAAAAGTTGAAAACAACTATAAAAATGATGCCAGCCAAATGAATCTGCTTACATTTATTCAGTTTCTATCTCTACCAATTAGCAAAAGGGGCTTCTGTTCGTTCAAATTGGAAGGAAAAAACTGCATGAAAATATGAACAGGTAGTGAGAGGAATAAGTTTTGTCCTATTTTATTATGTAGTAGCATGAATAAATAGGCAAAGAATTTGCATGGCTAGCAGAGAAATCAAAAGACTTCCTTTATACTATTTTGCTTTTTCTGGTTAGCTCACTGTGAAAGATGACATGAGTGGAGCCATATTAAAATAGAGCCAGAGCAGCCATTTCAGTGGAATCACCTTGCACGTCTTGTTTCATCTTCCAAACTGGACCAAACCACCAACATTCCAAGAAGTCAGTAAGGACAAGAATATCCTGTTTGTAAGGACTGGTGAAATTGCACATGGCTGATGACTGGATGGCTAGCCAGTCAATGAAGTACAAGTCTAGCCTTTTGCCTGATGACTGAATCTCAAGCCAATCTATGAAGTACAAACCTAGTCAGCAGAGAAATAGAAAGACTTCTTTACACTATTTTGCTTTTTTTAGTTAGCCAAGAATATACCAATTGCTTCACTGGAAAAATATTCTATTCTTTTAAACATAACTATTTCTCACTAGAAGTCAGCCTTATTTCATGCTAGTTTAGATTTTTTTTAAGTCAGCACAGTATTCCCTAAGTAGCACATAGCAGATGAGAAAAATAATGTAGACTTGCATGCAAACTCTATAAGAAAAAGCATTAACAAAATAAACTGCTATTTTCAAGTGATTTGAGAATTGATTACTCTGTGGGCAAACAAGGCTCCTTTCTAAAGAAAGCACTCATTTGAACATGAAAGTTTTTTAGACAAAGAGGTTTTGCAGCATAAAAGCTTGTTTAATAGTTCCTGGCAGAGAATGTGTGATCAATAAATTCGCTGCATAAATTACATTATGGCTTCTCCCAGGCAAATCTTATTTAGTGAAACCATCTCCCACTCTGCTTAACTAAACTCCCATATCAATCTCATTATTCTCTGGTTATATTAGAAATCAAAAGAACCTTTAAGTAAAACAAACGAAAATAAAACCCACTTGGCTACCTTCACAGACACTTTGCAGAGATGAGTGGCTGGCTATGCCCCTGAGACACTGGAGAGAAGGCAAGATACACATAATAATTGTGAACCATCACTATGTTGAAATTTAGATTAATGTTTTAAATATGTGTACACTGGAAACTTACTTTCCTTCTTCCTAGCATATTCTTCCTTAAGATCCTGGATATTTGTAGTCAGTACTTCCAATTCCTGCTTCTTGCCTTTTACTTCAGCAATCAACTTTAACAAGTTATCTTTTTTTTCTTGAATGAGCTTATTCTGCCTGTGGATCTCTGTAAGAAGCACAAAGTATCAGCTATAATATATATGCTTTGCTCTCTGATATGAATCTAAGATTAAAAAAAGACCAAAATATTGACTTTCATAAGATAATAAAGAATGTTTTAATTGATAAGTGTTTCCTAATGATTCAAAAATTGTAAAAGAAAAAACTCCTAATCTATTCTTTCCTATTTATCTTTGAAAATAAAAATGAGACAAAAATGCTTTTTAAAATGAGAATATCAAACTAAACCAAGAAACAGAAAATCAGAAGATCGTGACCCTTGCAGCTCTCACCTCCAAATAAGAACATAAATAAACCCACCAGCAAAGACAACAAACTCTAGAAGATGGCTTTACAGTGCCTTGAAGAAACAACTAATTCTATTGCTATATAAACGATTCTGGAACATACCAAAAAGAGAGAAAGTAAAGGAAGAAGAGAGGCTGGGAGGCAGGGAGGAAGGAAGTGGGAAACCTCATTTACACTGGTAACAAATAAAACATTGAGGAATAATCTAGATCAAGAAATACGTAAGCTCTGTATGAAAAAAATGCAAAACTCGTCCGAGACATATTTGACCTGGACATACAAGAGACATTTTATGCTTCTAAATATTATAAAGATGTCAATATTTCCCAAATTCACTTTTACGTCTAGTATAGTCCCAATGGAATCTGGAGGAAAGAAAAGGGAGGATCTAACAAAAGTAATTATAAAATTTATCTGACGAATACACAGGTGAGGACAGTTAAGAAAATATGGTAAAAAAAGATAACAAGGAAAGAGACTTGCCCTATTAGATTTAATATATGTGATTCTGACGCTATTGATACAATAGTGGGGTAATAGTTGAACAACTAATGTAGAGCTCAGTTAGACATAAAAGACATTCCCAAATGTTGGTACCTTTAGGAAATTAATATGATCAATGAAATATCATAAGTTAACAGGTAGATTGTTCCCTAAACAGTGCTAAAATCCAAAATAAACTCCATATTTATTAAATATTTAAATATAAAATGAAATCTTACAAAACCTAAAAGGCAGGATCTGTGAAAACAAACTGACTCTACGGGGAAAGATCTTTTTACTCAAAGACAAAAAGAAATCAGGGCCGACCCTGTGGCTTGGTGGTTAAGTGCGCGCGCTGCAATGCTGGTGGCCCGGGTTCGGATCCCGGGTGCGCATCGAGGCACCACTTCTCCCTCCATCCTGAGGCCGAGTCCCACATACAGCAACTAGAAGGATGTGCAGCTATGACATACAACTATCTACTGGGGCTTTGGGGGGAAAAAATAAAAAAAAAAAAATCTTTAAAAAAAAAAAAAAAAAAAAGAAATCAAAGAGAAAGGCATATACTGGCTACTTAAAATTAACATGCAGGTGAAAAAATTCATATTTGATTCAAATAAGCATAAAACTCTACTATATGCTAGGTACTTTGTTCAACACCTTATATTTATATAGATTTACTTACGTTTCACAATAATACTATTATGTAGGTCTTACTCTCTTGTTTAAAAGAAGAGGAGAAAGACTCAGCAGCTCAGTCACTTGCCCAAAGCTTTCTTTGCTAGGATGCAACAAACAGTTAAGACCTGGATTCAAACTCAGGTCTTGACTGCAAAGGCCATGCTTTTGACCATGAAACTATCCTCCCCCAACAATGGGTTACTATTCTTATCTAAAGAAGACATAAATATAAATTCTTAGGAAAAAAACAAAGGAATACACAGAGGACACACAGACTGCAGATGGTTGATAAATATGAAAGATAATTTAACCTCAGCAGCAATCACAGAAATGCAAATAAAGCAACAACATGCCAATTTTCATTTATTACAACAATGTTTACAAAGATAATAGCTAGCGTTGAGAAGAATGCAAAATATGAGAGTCCTCGTGGAAGATATTTTTGACATTGAAAAACAAGTCTTAAGGATATTCATGTCCCTTGATGCAGTAATTTCATTTTTACAAAGTTACCCCAAAACAAGATGTGTGCAAATATTTGCATATAAAAAATTATTTTCAGTGTTATTTATAATGGTGAAAAACTGAAAACATCCTAAATGTCTAATATGTAAATAAACTAGGTAAATATGGTATATCAATAAGGTGGAATATATTTTCAAAGAATTTAGTAACGTGGGAAAATACTCTCAATGTGGATAAAGGAAAAAAAAATTATACAAAGGAAAAAAAAGATATAAAGTTATATAGATACCATGAACACAATTATCTTCAAAAAAACTACATAGCACAGAAAAAATAAAAACTAGAAAGTCATTTTGTTAAATATGGTTCTCAACATTACAGGTAACATTTTTTATTTATATTTATATTTAATTAATATAGTTTATATTTAATGTTTACTTTTCTGTATTTTTCAATAATTTGGACATGATTATATATTATATCCAATATAATTTAAAAATAAACATCAGAATTACTAGGAAGAAAAATTATACTTTTTAAAGGAAATTACATAGATTCGTACTGCAAAAGAGATGCAGATTAAAGTCAAAAGGTCTCACTTCCAATCAGTCTCCTCAGTTGTTACCCAAGGACCTTGGTCAAATCACAACTTCAGGGACTGTTTTCCTCATTTGTAAAATGGGGATAATAATGGCTGCCCCATTTATTTACCTCACAGGGTTAGAGTATCCAATTATAATGTGAAAAGTTTTAAACTATTAGGTGATACATAAATACCATAAATGTGGGGCCGGCTCCGCGGTGTAGGGCGCGCTCCCCTGCTGGCGGCCCGGGTTCGGATCCCGGGCGCACATCGATGCACCGCTTGTCAGGCCATGCTGTGGTAGTGTCCCACATAAAGTGGAGGAAGATTGGCACAGATGTTAGCCCAGGGCCAGTCTTCCTCAGCAAAAAAGAGGAGGATTGGCACGGATGTTAGCTCAGGGCTGATCTTCCTCATACACACACACACACAAATACCGTAAATGTGTTTTTATTCTAACATTTGAAGAACTGTGTGGATTTGTGCCAATACAAATGTAAGGGCCCTCGATACTGTGTGCCTATTATTTTATGAGTATATAGTTAGCTGTCTCTTTTCTTCTCTAGGGCCGATAGCTCAAACTTTCACTACTGCTCACCATAGGAACCCTCCCTCGTGCTTTCCTTCCATGTAGAAAGGTCAGTGAGGTACACTGGAAAGAGCACAGACATTTTGGCTACAATTTTAGATCTTCTATCTACGAAATGTATGACCTTAGGCAAATTTCCTAAAGTCAGTGAGCCTTAAATTCTTCATCTGCAAAATAGGAATAATCTCTGTCTTGTACAGACTTCAGGATTTAAGATCATTGAAGAGCTTGGCGCATAGTAGATACCTCTCACTTTCAATAGATGGTTTTCCTCCTTGTGATAAATGGAAGGAACAGACGCTCCAGGTGGGCCAGAATTTTTGGCTAATCTGTTCTCTACTCTGCTAATTTGCTCTCTATCTTCCTAGAAGCGTACCTGGCACAGAGTAGCCACTCAACAAATACGTGGTGAGAATTGAATGAGCTCCCTCCATCTTCTCTACTTCCACATTGTATCTTTTTTTTGTGTGTGTGAGATCAGCTCTGTGCTAACATCTGCCAATCTGCCTCTTTTTTTGCTGAGGAAGACTGGCCCTGGGCTAACATCTGTGCCCATCTTCCTCCACTTTATATGGGACGCCGCCACAGCATGGCTTGCCAAGCAGTGCGTTGGTGCATGCCCGGGATCTGAACCGGCGAACCCTGGGCCACCACAGCGGAGCGCGTGCACTTAACTCCTTGCGCCACCGGGCTGGCCCCCCACGTTGTATCTTTATCGGTATGTTCTCTCCTGCCACAGTAACAGCAGCTCCTCAAATCCAAGGCTAATCCGGATTCCTTTTCCTCTATCTTCCTAATTATCCCCTGCTTTTTTCAACATGTACTTTCCCTCTGACTTCTGTCCTGCAGCAAATAAACATGCTCATTTTAAGATGGACACCTTAAAAATGAAAGAAAAAGTTCACCCGTGTCACTCTGTCCCAATGCAGCTACCATCTCTTCCTTTTAAGCTTCCTGAAAGCATTCCACACTACTACTTCATCTCCTAACTCCAAAGGGACCTTTGCCCACAACACTCCACCAAAACTGGCTCTCACTGTAGGTCATTTTCTTCCAAATGACTAAATATACAGAGAGCCTTTCAGTTTTATTTTATTGGATATATCTGTGACTTCCCAGTGTCGACAACATCCTCTGTTCTGCAAGAACCTCTGTGGTTCTTTCTTTTTCTAGTTTCTGCCTTCTCTCTTACTTCCTCTGCTCTCCAGTTTCTAATTCTGCCTTTCCTGGTCCTTTCCATTTACCTCTCTTTCAAATTATAGATAGGAAATGTAACGTGAGCGTAAGCAAGGCCTCGAGTCAATCTGATGATCTGGAAAAAAAATCACAATCTCTCTGAGTTGGTAATCTCCTCAGTAAAATGGGAATAAGAAGACCTACTTTGGAGAACTGATATGAAAATCGAAAGAGATGGTGCATGTCAAGTTTTTGCACAGTACCTGGCACACAGTAAAAACTCAGTATATATTAACTACTATCCTAGGTCATCTTCCTTCACTCTACACATTCTTCCAGAGCTTCAACCCCAAAAATACACTAACGACTCCCAAATCTCTATCTTCAGCAAAGACCTCTTTCCTGGCTGGCCTCCAGATCCACTGCCCACCAGACAGCTCCATCTGCAAAGCCCACAGCACAATAACTTGGCATATTCACTCAACACATTTAAAACTGAACCCATCTACATTTCCCTCCCACCCCTGAAAACATGTTCCTCCTCTTCTAATCCCTCACTCAGTAAATGTATCACCACTGACCTGTAGTCCAAGTCAGAAGAAAGGAATCATCCTAGACACATCACACCCTCACATCCAGGCCATCGGTCATAAGTTTACCTCCTCAGAGCTGTCACTGGCCCATGCCATTCCCCATTCTTTACCTGAACTACTGCACTACCTTGTTCCTCTAACTAGTCTCTATGGCCAACCATCTCACTCCCGTTTATTGTGCACGACATTGCCACAGGGCTTCTTCTGAAATACAAATCCCATAGCATTTTCCAGGTTAAAATCCTGTAGCGACTCCCTAATCTCCTGAAGAACAAAGCCTAACCTGCTCTGCCCAACATATAATGTACTTCATCGTCTGACACCCATTTCTCTGCTGCTCCCCATTCACACTGTACTCTAGTCATCCCAGAACTCCCAAGCTCTTGTGTTTCTGCCCCATTCCATATGCTGTTCCCTCTTGTAGAATATAGCACTGAACCTGATGGGTTTCTCCAGCCTTCCTCTATGTGACCTTCTCTAGGGTCATGTGGTCTAGTCAGACTGCACATTCAAATCATGTTTCTGTTGATTACCAGCTGTCTGACCTTGAGCAATTTACGTCGCCTCTCTGTGCCTATTTCCTCATCTATAAGGCAGGATTAAAACGGTAACTATACCGGACCAGCCCAGTGGCAAGGTGGTTAAATGCACACGCTCTGCTTTTTTTTTTTTTTTTTTTAAGATTTTATTTATTGATTTTTTCCCCCCCAAGCCCCACTAGATAGTTGTATGTCATAGCTGCACATCCTT